TTGTGCAAACGTGTGACTGCTCATCCACATACATGACCATGGTTGTATGTAGTCATGGCTGTGCTCACACACACACAACACGTGGCTGTGTTTGCACACACACATGGCTGTAGTTGTGCACACATGTGACTGTGCTCACGCACCCCCCCAGCCAAGTTCATACACACACGTGGCCCTCCTCGTACACATACCTGTGATTGTGCACGCGTGTGTCTGTGCTCACACGCACACGTGACCGTGGTTGTACATGCATGGCCATGCTCTCACACACACACACACACACAGCTGTGCTCACACACACACGTGCCTGCGCTCACACACACATGTAGCCATGTTCACACACATGACCGTGCTCTCACACACACAGAGCCGTGCTCACACACACACGTGCCTGCGCTCACACACACATGTAGCCATGTTCACACACATGACCGTGCTCACACACACACACTGCCGTGCTCACACGCACAATTGGCTCTGCTCATACATACACACAGAGCCGTGTTCACACACACGCGTGGCTGTGCTCACACACAAAGCCGTGTTCACACACACGCGTGGCCTTGCTCACACGCACATCCGTGCCCGCGCACACGGTTGCCGTGTCCCTGCCGTGCCCGCTCCGCCGGGCCGGTGCCGGTGCCCGGTGCCCATCCCTGCTGCGGCAGGCCCACGTGCCGGCCGGCGCCTGCCCGCACATGGCTCTGCAGCAGGGAGGCTGCTGGGGCTAAAAATGGAGCAGGGCGCACATGCCAGCGCCACGTGACGCGCATGGAGAGGGCTCCCCGCGAGAGGAGGAGGAGGAGGAGGAAGAGGAGGAGGAGGAGGGAGCCCGCTCACATGGGCTGGTACAGATGCCAACCGGGCCGCCGGCCACGACGCCGCGGCCGCTGTGTGACCTGTGGTGGGGGGCTGACGGGGTGCCCCCCCCCACAAACACATTTGACCTTTGGGAAGGTCAAACATGGGGCAACGGGGGCGTGGGAAAGGGGAGGAGGGTTCCCAGGTGGGGGTCCGAGGTGGGGGGTCCAGAGGCTGAAGAAGCCCCAGATGCTGCCCCAGGTCCTTTGTGAGGTCCTGTGGCTGCAGAGGGAACATAAACACATGAGATCTCGGGGGGGGGCAGGTGAGGGGGCCCCCTGCTGCTCCCCCTGAGGGGACTCCCCAGACCCCCCTACATGGTGAACACACTGGGGTTCACCATCCCCTGGAGGTCCTGCACCCCTATATTGCAGCATCACCCCAATTTCTGGGTCCCTGCACCCCTGAACCCTCCCTGAGGTCCCTGCACCCCCAGACCCTGCACCCCTGCACCCTTCTGGGGTCTCTGCACACCTTGATCCTGTACCCCTTTTTGGGTCCCTGCACTCTTCTGGGGTGCATTCACCCCTAAATCTTGCACCTCCACGAATCTGTGCACCCCTGCACCCCCAGATCCTGCACCCTCCTGGGGGTCCCTGCACTCCCAGATCCTGCACCCCCTGACTCTGCACCTTCGGGGGTCTCTGCCCCCCAACTCCAGTCTGCCCCATCCCACGGTTCTGGGATGCATTGGGGTGCCCCCGGCTGCCTTGGGGTGCCCCCACCCGCCGTGGGGTGCCCCCGGCCGGGGCCAGGCTTGCCTTGTTTACCCGATTTTTCCCGTTCCCGGGGAGGGAGGGCGATTCTGGCAGCGGGAGCTGCTGTCCCGGCCAAGAGCCGGGGGCCGAGCCAAGGCTGCTCCCAGAAGGAAAACACCCCAAACCCACCCCAAACTCCAACCCCACGACCACCCTCCTGGTCCCTCGCAGCGGCACCGGGGCTGCTGCAGCGTCCCGCCCCCCCCTGCCGCCCCCCCCACTGCCGTCAGTAGGGACGGATGAAAGGGGGCTCAGGGGTGCAGGACCCCCAAGTGGGTGGGACCCAGCACCTCTGCCCTCCCACACTCGCAGCTCTGGGTGGGGAAACTGAGGCACGATGTGCGTAGGGTGACACGGGGACACAGCTGGACCCGGTGTCCCCAACTCCACGGGGCTGTTGCAGCCCCACGATGGGTCTGGGGGTGTCCAAGTGAGTCTGGGAGTGCAAAGCTGGGGTCCTGTCCCCTGCCAGCCCCAGTGCCCGGCCCCGGGACAGATTGGGGGGAGGGAGTGACAGGCAGGAACGAACCCCTGTTCCCTGCGGAGACGCCCCCCCCCTTTTCCTGGAAAAGGTTCAACAAGGTAAACAAGGCTCCAGCCCGGAGTAAAAATAAACCCTCGGCACGCAGGCGCCGGGCGGGAAGCGGGGCGAGCGTCACGCGGCACGGCCACGGCACCGGCACCGAGCACCGGGCACCCCTCACCTCGCACCGGGCACCCCTCACCCCGCGCCCCGACAGCGGCCCCACCGCCCCACCGCTGCCTCCCGTTCCCCTGGAGCAGTGGCAGGGGAAGGGGATGGGATCAGTCCCCCCCGCAGGGGGTGCTGGAAGCTGGGGGGAGGAGGGGGCTGCAGTTGAGGGGCCACGGCATGGGAAGGGCAGGGGCACAGCCCGTGGCAGGGACTGGGGTGAGACGTGTGTCCCCCTGACATTCCGGGCACCCCACGGCATCCCGGCACTGTGGGACAGGGCAGAACTGGGCTGGGGGGGCAGAGACCGCGGGAGGTGCAAGGTCTGGGGGTGCAGGGACTGCAGGAGGGTGCAGGGGGGCACGATCTGGGTTTGCAGGATGTGGAGGTGCACAGATCCGTGGAGGTGCAGGATGCATTATGTGATGACCTTGGGGGGCCTTGAGGTGCCCCTCTGCGCCATGGACTGGTTGGCACGGGCACTGCCATGATGAAAGGGCACGGGGACCCTCGGGGACCCCCCCCCCGAGCACAGACCCGGCCTCTGGGGGGTGCTCGGGGCAGCTCAGCTGCAGCGCCCCGCTGTCCCGGTGGTTCTCCTGGTCTCTCTCCCCCACCCTGGTCCCCATGGGTGGTCCCAGAGTCGGGATATCCCGGGAATATCCCGGCTGTGCCCAGCCTGAGGTCCCTGCTCACAGCACTCTCCCCCTGCCCCCACCCCGTGCCGGGGTCCCAGCCCCACGGCGGGACCCCACAGTGGGACCCCAGGGGGTTTATCCCGTCCCTCCCAGCCCCACTCCCGTCCCGTGGATCCCTGAGGGATCAGGGTCCAGCCGAGCATCCCTGGCGCCGTGTCCCGTGTGCCGCAGCGCCGTGCGCAGGCATGTTTTCCCGATCCAGACGTGCGGCTGAGTCACGGATAATCACCGGGAACGTGCCGGGAGGGGAACGAGGCGCCGCGTGGGGCCGCGGGCACCTGCACGGTCGTGACAGCCTGGGCAGGGCCCCGCTGGAAGCGGGGATAGGGCAGGAAGGGCCCCTCGCCCCGGGACCGGCGTCCCCCCGGGTCCCCCCGGTCCCATGCCAGCCTGGCCCCACACATCCTTCCGGGAGCTGCCGCGGTTCTCCCGGCCGGAGGTGCCCCGGCACCGCTCAACCGCCCGCTGACTCAGGGCGAGAGCATGTCCTGTGGGATGTCGGGGTGTTCCCACCGCGCCAAAAGCCGGGGGCACTCTCGGCATCCCCCCCCCCCGGGGACCCCCAGCTGAGGAACGGCTCCGCACACCCAAAAGGGCTGGTGCCGGGGGGTCCTTGGGCGGCAGAGCTCCGGCGCTTCCCCCCCACCCCGGGCACCCCGCACAGCCGGGGCACCGGAGGCCTCCCTCTCCCGTGGGATTAGCTCCGAGGATTTCCCGGCTCTGGCACATCCGTGCTCTGCTCCTTCTCCTCCTGGCTGGGGGCCAGGACAGCGCCCGGCACGTGGCATCCAGGAGAGTGCTGGCACCCCCAAAACCCTCCCCGCGGGGGGGGGGGAGGCCACGATCACCCACGGAGCCCCCGGTGCCACCGGGCTGGGCTGGCCCCGGCGCTGCGACCCAGATCTGCCACCGGCTCTGCTCTGGCACCGCGTCGCCGCAGCCCCCGCGGCAGCCGGGAGCGGGGCCAGGCTGGGACGTGGATGCCAGGCACGTGCCACAGCGGGCACCCGCCGTGGGCAGCGTGGGGACAGCAGGGACTGGGCAGGGGGACATTGCGGGGGGCAGTGGGCAGGGGTCCGGCTGTGCCAGGGGCTGTGCCATGCACAGTCCTCTCTGCTGCGGGGGGGGGGGGGCCTGCGGGGCTGGGGCCACGCTGGTGGGCAGAGGAGATGGTGCCGTGCAGGGTGACAGGGGTACCTGGGGGTCACTCGTGCACAGGACAGTGCTTTGAGGGGTGACAGGGGTATCTGAGTGTCCTCAGTTCAGGGGATAGTGCCTTGAGGGGTGACAAGAGTGCCTGGGGGTCCCCAGTGCAGGGGCAGTGCCATACGGGGTGACAGTGCCACCTGGGTGTCCCCAGTGCAGGGGACGGTGCCATGCAGGGTGACAGGGATACCCGGGGGTCCCCAGTGCTGTGCCGGGTGACACAGGTGCCCAGGTGCCCCCAGGGGATGGTGCCATGCACAATGACAGCGCTATGCCTGGGTCTCCCCGGTGCAGGGGACAGCGCCACGCTCAGGTGTCCCCAGTGCGGGTGACAGCGCTGTGCAAGGTGACAGGGCTGCCACTGCCGCGCCTGGGGGGTCCCCGGTGCAGGGGACAGCGTCGTGGCAGTGACAGAGGTGCCGAGCGCTGCACCCAAGTGTCCGCAGTGCAGGGCACAGCGCTGCGCCCGGGGGTCCCCGACGCAGGGGCGACACGAGGGGCACCCGGCGCTCCCGGTGCAAGGCACCGGCGCGGGTGCCGGTCCCCGCGGTCCGTCAGGCGGCCCCGGTGTGGGGGTCCCCGCCGAGCCCGGGCTCCCCGGCGGCGGCGCGGGGCCGGGGCCGCCGGCGGAAAGTGTGTCACTGGGGCACGAGGCTGTCCCCGGGAATCACATGGGGGAGGCGGCGGCGCCGCGTGCGGCCCAGTGCGCAGCCGCGGCCGGTGCGGGGGGCGGCGGGGCGGGCGGCGGGCGCACAACAGCCCGCACCGGGCGGCGGCGCGGCACGGCTCTGCTCCGCTCCGCTCCGCTCCACTCCGCGCCGGGAGGCTCACGGGGCCCCGGACAAGGATGGCGGCCCCCGAGACAGGCAGCACAGGTCAGTGCCTCCCCGGAGCCCCTCACCCCCGCGACCACCGTGCGGGCACCGGCAGCGGTCCCCCCCCCCCCAGCACCGGAGCGCATCGGGGGGCAGCGCCCCGGGACCGCGGCGAGGGGCTGCGCGCTGAGACCGCGAGTTGGAGGGGTCCGGACACCGGGACCGTGGGGGTCCCGCACGCCCGACCGGGCAGGATGCGCACCGGGACAGCGTCCCGGAACGGGGCACCGTCCTACCGGGACCGGAGGGTCCTGCAGAGCGGGGTAAGGCTCGGACAGGGGGGCCGGGGTGTCCCCGGGAGGAGGGTAGGGAGGGGTGTGCGCCGGCACCGCGGGTCTTGCACACCGGGACGACCTGAACACCGGCACCGGGGCGCTACGGTGTCCGGGGAAGGAGAGATGGAGAGCGGGACCGGGAGTCCTGAACGCCGCGGCGCGCTGGACGCGGGGGTAGGAAGAGTGAGAACAGGGATCGGTGTCCCGGAACGTCCCGGACAACAAGAGAGGGGTGTCCCGGGCTGCGGGACCGGAGGGGAGCGCGACGGGACTGAGGTGTCCCGGAAACCGGGAATTCCCGAACGCCGGGGCGCGCTGGACGTGGGGGTAGGAAGGGTGACAACCAGGATTGATGTGACCCGGACAGCAGCACCGGAGAGGAGCGGGGCGGCTCCGGGGCAATGACCCGGGAAGCGGGACCGGAGGGGAACGCGCCGGCATCGGTGTGTCCTGGGTGGTGGGACCGGAGGAGACCGCTCAGGGTGACCGTAGGGGACCGCGGCGGGACCGGCGTGTCCCTGTCAGCGGCACCGCGGGCACCAGGCAGCCCCGCGGGGCGGCCGAGGCGATGTCACTGCGTGTCGGGGCTCCCCGCGCGCACCGGGAAGGGACGGGGACAGTGGGGGAGGACGGGGACCGGAGGCGGTGCTGGCCCCCCCCGCTCCCCCGTGTCCCCCCCCGCACGTGTCCCCCTCCCCGCCGCTGCCACGTGCGGAGTTTGTTTTCCCCGCAGCCCCGCCCCGCCCCCTTCTATTGGCCGCCGCGTGACGTCACCGATGACGTCACACGCGGGACCGGGGACGCCGCCGCTCATTTCGGGTGGTGGGGAGGGGGGGAGGCCCTGTCTCCGGGGTAACCAGAAGGGGCGGGGCCGAGCACCGGGCCAATGAGGGCGAGGGGGGCGTGGTAAAGCGTGAAGGGGCGGGGCCGAGGGCGGCCACGTGCGGCGGGAGCACGTGGGGCGGCGGCGTGAGGCCGCCTGAGCTTGCGGGAGGGGGGGATGCTGCGGGGTGGCTGTTTGGGGGGGGTTCCCGGTGTTTTGGGGTCAGGAAGAGTCTTCCCCTTCTGGGGCAACCCTCTGGGGGAGATCCCCTGCACCCCGAAGCGGGGGGGGGGGTCCCGGGGCTTCGGGGTGCAAGGGATCCCCCCATTATTTTGGTGTGTCAGCAGCTGGGGGTCCCTCGAATCAGCTGTCGTGGGGTTGGGACCCACTGTCCCCGATTCAGTGACCGCCTTTGGAGGTGGTTCAGTGAGGGGGGGTGGTGGGGGAATGGTGACAAGCTGGCTCCGGCGCGTGGCATCTGTGCCGGCGGCACCGTGTGCGGCGGGAGACACATGGCCCCGGTGATCCCGTGTGTCCCCGACATCGCCATCCACGTGTCCCAGCCCGGAGTCGTGTCCCGGTGCTGCTGTCCCTGCCCCGTGAGTGGGGTGACAACGACTATGACTTCAGCCAGGGGCCATGCACATGCACCCCTCGCCACCCCGGTACTGCTCCCCACTTTTTGGGGGTCCCCCACGCAGCTCCTCAGCCCTGCAGTGGGGAAGAATCTCCCCAAATGAGGGGGCTGTGCTGGGATAATCCAGGTGCCACGCTGGGATAATCCAGTGCTGCTGCACTGGGATCACCCCAATGCCACAGGGGGCTGCACTGGGATCACCCCAGTGCCACAGGGGGCTGCACTGGGATCACCCCAATGCCACAGGGGGCTGCACTGGGATCACCCCAGTGCCACAGGGGGCTGCACTGGGACCACCCCAATGCCACAGGGGTTGCGCCGTGCGGCTGTACCAGGAGCTGTGGGTGGGAGCTCGGCTGTGCCGTGGGCACGGAGCCAGGGACGGCGGGAGTAACTCCTGTGACCTCCTGATTTCACCTCTCCCGAGGGTTCCCAACCCACATTCCTCCTGCAGGCAATTCCGGGGTGCCCTGCCTGTGTCCCCAGCCGGCACGCACCCAGATAAACCCGGCTGTCCCCGGCCCACGTGGGCTCGGCACCCGTGGCGCCCGGTGGGTGCGGTGCCTGACTCAGGGTGGGCGGTGCACGTGCGGCGCTGCGGGATGCCCTTGGATCCGGGATGCATCCGGGGTGCTTCCCTGGGGACCCCCCGCCGCCTGGGGCTTCCATCCTCCTCCAGGGGGTTTTCCCTGCCTGGGCTGGGGGAGGCTGAGCTTGGTGCAGCTTGGTACATGAGTGGTCCACCGGGATGCCCGTGGATCCTGGATCCAGGATGCGTTCGTGATCCTTCCCTGTGGATCCCGCCCCGCTTGGAGCTGCAGTCCCCCTCATCGGGGAGTCCCCCGTTTTGTGGGGGAGGAGGCTGAGCCTGGCACAGCTCAGTACATGTGTAGCCCCGTGGGTTTCCCGTGGATTTGGGTGCTTCCCTGGGGATCCCACCCTACACAGGGCTGTGATCCTGCTCACGGTGGGGGGAGGCTGAACCTGGCACAGCTCAGTGCATGTGTGGCCCCGCAGGATGCCCGTGGCTCCAGGTTGCCGATGGATCCGGGGTGCTTCCCTGGGGATCCCACCCACCTCCCGGGGTTTCCCCCTCCATGAACTGGGGAGGCTGAGCCCGGCACAGTCAGTGCATGAGTAACCCCTCGCTCTTTGCAGGTGGGGTGATCAGCTACGTGGGCTCCAGCGGCGCCTCTCCCACCCGGACCAGCCCCGTCTCCCTCTGCAGCGACAGCTCCAACGGCAGCTCCCAGTCGGGATCCCAGCCCTTCCCCACGTACTTCCCCCCGTCGCCCACCGGCTCCCTCCAGGATTCCCGCGCCTACGGCGGGGGCTCGCTGGCCCCCCATGAGGACGGCTCCCCTTCTTCCTCCTCCTCATCCTCCACCTCCTCCTCCTCGTCGTACGGCTCCTCGGTGAACTTCCCCGGGGTGCAGCCGGTCCCCGCGGACGAGCGGCGCCGCAGTTCACCCAGCAAAGCCGGCAGCACCGTCACCAGTGAGTGGGGCTCACGGGGGGGCGGCGGGCGGGCCCCCCACCCCGCCGAGGGCACCCCGGGACCCCGCTGACCCCGGTCCCCCCGCAGAGCTCAACGGGATGGTGCTGCTCTGCAAAGTGTGCGGGGACGTCGCCTCCGGCTTCCACTACGGTGTCCACGCCTGCGAGGGCTGCAAGGTACTGGGATGGGGCCGGGCATGGGGCACGGACCTCCCGTCACGCTGGGGGGACTCCCAGTGACCCTCCCTCCCACCCCGCAGGGCTTCTTCCGCCGCAGCATCCAGCAGAATATTCAGTACAAGAAGTGCCTCAAAAATGAGAACTGCTCTATCGTCCGCATCAACCGCAACCGCTGCCAGCAGTGCCGCTTCAAGAAGTGCCTGCTGGTCGGCATGTCCCGCGACGGTGAGCTCGGAGGGACCCCCGCAACCCCCACCCCGAGCCGGGGGGCTCCTCTGGGGGTGGGATTCCCTGTGCCCAGGCTCTGCGTCCCCTCCCGGGATGCCCAGGGCTGTACATCCCCTCCAGAGTCAGGTTCCCCCGGCTGTGCTGGGTGCTCTGCCTGTCCCGTGGGATGTGTCCCCCTCTTCCTGGGATGGGTCCCCACCGTGGTTGGAGTGGCATGTCCTCTCCTGGGATGGATCCCCCCCATGCTCAGGGCACTGCATCCCCTCCCAGGATGGAAACCCCATGCCCAGGGCTCCCTGCCCCCTCCTGGGATGGGTCCCACAGTGCCCAGGGCTGTGTGTCACCTCCAGGACGGGGGTAGGGATGCAGCCCCGCTCCCAGCAGCCCCTGGCCCCCCATGGCACAGGTCTGGGGGGGGTCGCCGTGCCCGCTGCCGCCGGTGTCCCCCCCTAACGCCGGTGTCCCCCCACAGCCGTGCGCTTCGGGCGCATCCCCAAGCGGGAGAAGCAGCGGATGCTGGCGGAGATGCAGAGCGCCATGGGCGGCATGGCCAGCGCCCCACCTCCGATGCCCGGCCCCGGCGAGGGTCCCACCGTGGGCGGGGGCCGCGCGCCGCCCCCCGGCCCCCCGCCGCTCGCCCCCCCCGCCTGCTTCTCCCAGTTCCCCCAGCAGCTGACGCCCCCCCGCTCGCCCAGCCCCGGGGGGGCCACCGAGGACGTCATCGCGCAGGTGGCCAAGGCCCACAAGGAGATCTTCATCTACGCCCACGACAAGCTGGGACCCCCCCCCGCCTGCGACAGCGGCCTCCTGCGCTGGGACGCGCCCCCCGCCTGGGCCCCCGGCCCCCCCGAGCCCCGGCTCTGCCCCGCCGCCTACCCCGAGCCCCCGGCCCCGCGGGGGTGCCCCTGGCCCCGCGGCCCCAAGGACGTCCTGCCGGTGAGTGCCCGGGGGCTCCTGCTCCCCGTGGGGTATTTTTAGCTGCTTATTGCACTAATCCCCTTGCGGGTGCCCCCCTCCCTTCCCGCTGTGATGGTGGGGCTGGGGGTGCCCCGGGTGCCCGCTGACCCCCCACCTCCTGCAGGCGTGTCCCATGAACAGCCACGTTCCCGGGCGCAGCGGGCGCTCCGTGCAGGAGATCTGGGAGGATTTCTCCCTCAGCTTCACCCCCGCCGTCCGCGAGGTCGTCGAGTTCGCCAAGCACATTCCCGGCTTCCAGGCGCTGTCCCAGCATGACCAGGTCACCCTGCTCAAGGCTGGCACCTTTGAGGTATGTCCTGGGATGGCAAGGGCTTGATGCAGGGCATGGTGCCCTATGGCATTGCGTGGTGCCCCAAAGCCTGACACGATCCCTCTGGCATTGCACAATGCTCCATGTACTGGCATGGAGCCCCAAAGCATGGGCACAGTGGCCCAGATCATGGCATTGCAGTGCCCCACATATAGGAGCCGTGGCACAGAACTCGTCCCTGCATGATGCTCCATGACATGGCACAGTGCCCCACATTTGGGAGCCATGGACTGGAGTGTGGCACTGCCTGGTACCCCACGGTGCCCATGGCATTGCCTGGTGGCCCACGGCACTGCAGTGCCTGACACGTGGCAGCCGTGGTATGGAGCATGATGCCCACGGCATGGTGCCCCACATTTGGGAGTCAGGGACTGGCATGAAGCCCCTGGTGTCCCACGGCAATGTAATGCATATGGGAACTGTGGCATGAAGCATTGCATGGTGCCCATGGGATGGTGTGGTGCCCCACAGCACGGCATGGGATCCCAACCCGCACGTTCGGGAACTGTGGCACGGAGCACAGAGCCCCTGGCGTGGCACGATGCCCCGTGGGCTGGCACGGAGCCCCACGGCACTGCAGTGCCCCACATTTGGGAGCCATGGCAGGGAGCCCGGTGCCCTCGGTGCCCCTGTCCTGCCACGGTGCCCCATCCCAGTGCCCACACGCTGCCCACCCCGCAGGTGCTGATGGTTCGCTTCGCGTCGCTGTTCGACGTGAAGGAGCAGACGGTGACGTTCATGAGCCGCACGCGGTACGGGCTGGAGGAGCTCTGGGCCATGGGCATGGGGGACCTGCTCGGGGCCATGTTCGACTTCAGCGAGAAGCTCAGCGCCCTCGAGCTCAGCGATGAAGAGCTGGGGCTCTTCACCGCCGTCGTCCTCGTCTCGGCAGGTGGGCTCGGGGGGTTTTTGGGGGGAGATTGAGGGGTTTGGGGGTGAGATCGTGGGAGTTTGGGAGGGGATCAGAGAGCTTGGGGTTGGGATCATGGGGTTTGGGGAGTGTTCAGGGGTAGGACTGGGGGATTTCTGTAAAGGATCAGGGGTTTCAGAGGGGGATTTGCAGGTTTGGGGAGGAATTAGGGGTTCGAGGGGGAGATTGGGGGTTGGGGGGGTGGGATCAAGGTGATGAAGGTGAAAGAGAGTCGGGGTTCAGGGACAAAATCGTGGGGAGTGGACGTGGGAGCAAGAGGTCTGGGGGAATTGTGGCTGGGATAGGGGGTTCAGAGTGGGATTCAGCGGGAATTGAGGGGTTGGGTTGGATGTGGATCAGGGGGTTCAGGGATAAGGGTGGGATTGGGGTGATGCCGGGGTGGGATCAGGGGGTTTTGGGGGTGGAACCGGTGTGTCCCTGCTCTGCCCCTGACACCCTGCTCCCGCAGACCGCTCGGGCATGGAGGACACGGCGTCGGTGGAGCAGCTGCAGGAGACGCTGCTGAGGGCCCTGCGCGCCCTCGTGCTGAAGACGCGCCCGGCCGAGACCTCGCGCTTCACCAAACTGCTGCTGAAGCTGCCGGACCTGCGCACCCTCAACAACCTCCACTCCGAGAAGCTGCTCTCCTTCCGCATCGACGCCCAGTAGTGCCCCCTGGACCCCCCTGCAGCCCCCCCCCGCGCACCCCTGTACATACACCACAGCGGGGGGGGACACACAGACCAACCCCTGGGGCAGCACCGACCCCATGGACTCACAGGGATTCACCCTTAAGGTGGGCGCCGGGACGCTGGGACCCCCCCGCCCCCCCCCCAAATCGGGTGCCAGCCCCACGGCTCCGCTGGCAGCGCCGGGGGGTCCCCTCGCCCTGATCCCCCCCAGCTCCAGCGGCCGAGGGTGGGACGCAGTGGCCGGATCCAGCCGTGCTGGGTGGGGCGGGTTTGGGGCGTGGTGTGTGGGGGGGGGTTTGGTTGGTTGGTTTTTTTTTTCATCATATATTTATTACATAAATATATAGTAAAATAGACCAGCAACAATTACCATAAAAATATCTTTCTTTAAAATCCTGACCAAAACACAAAAGGGTTTAAAATCGCACGTCACAGACTGTGATTGTCACAGGGGCTCCGCGGCCCCCCCGGCCCGCGCCCCTACATTCAGCGACGCCGGCCGCGGCCCCCCCCGCCACCACCCTGCATAGTGGGGGACCCCGGTGGGGCACGCCGAGCCGGGCCGGGCCGTGCCAGGCCGTGCCGAGCCCTGTGCCAGGCCGTGTGCCGGCCGGGCTCGACGCCCGCGGGCAGGGGCAGCTCCGGGAGCCATGAGGTATGTGCTTGGGGGGGGGGAAGGGGATGCGGGGATGGGGGGGACGTGGGGCGGGGGTGGCCCGGGGAGGTGGCGGAGGGGTGGGGGGCACCGGTGTGGACCCCCGGGACCGACGCTGGATGCTGGACGTGCGATGGCGACGCGAGACGGAGACGTGGGGGCGGCCCGGGGGGCGCGGGGGGAGTGCAGGGGGTGGGGGGGCGTGCGGGGGGCAGCGGGTGGGGGGCCGGGCGGAGCCCCCCACCCCGGGACAAGCTGCCCCAGAGCACCGTGTGGCCGCTTGGGGGGGCCCCGGCCCGGCTGGGGGGGGGGTCACGGTGGCTGATTAAGACACGTCCCGCGATGGGAGCACGCGGGGGGTGCGCGGGAACACGCGGGCAGCACGTGGGCACGGCACCGGCACCGGCACCGCACCAACATGAACTGCCACGGCACCGACGTGGCACCGTCACGGCGCCAACGCGCATGCCCATGGCACCAACACGCGTGGCCATGGCACCAACATGCATTGCCATGGCACTGACATGGCACGGCCACGGCACAATACCAGCACCTGCGGCCACAGCACCGGCACGGTCACGGCACCAACACGCGTGGCCGTGGCACGAACATGGCATGGCCACGGCACCACGGGGGGCATCGCCCGGGTGCCACAGCCCCGGCCCGAAGGCACGTGTTGGGGCTGGTGCTGCCGGGGGGGTGGGGGCTGAACCCCCAAACCCTGTGCCCCCCCAGCACGGGTGTCAGTGGTCGGCTCCTATTGCACCACCCACAGCCGGTGCCACCGGGACCCCCCAGTGCCAGGACCCCCTGAGCCGGGACCCCCTGAGCCAGGCACCCGGGTGGGGGTTTAAGACATTTTGCACCAAGGTCAAATCCGGTGCTGGTACTTGGGGCCGGGGGCATGTGCCCCCCCCAGGGCACCCCGGGGTGCCACGGCCCCTCTGTGCCCCCCGACCTGGCTGCAGGGGGTCTGGCAGGGCCCCCTGACATGACCCCCATGGTGGGGGTGTCTGGGGTGTTGGGGGGAGCCCAGCCTGGCCCCCTGTGCCCAGGGTGGGGGGGACGTGTCTGGTGTTGGGATTTTCTGCTTTTAAACGACCCGTAAAAAGATTTTTTTTTTTTAATTACAAAAATTATATATTTTATATATATTTATATATATATATATATATATATTAGCTTAGGTGGGCCCGGCCTGCCTTGCCGGCCCCCCTGGCCCGCGCCCCCCCTCGGCCTCCGCCTGAGGTAAGAAAAAATTCACAAACCTAAATTTGGGGGGGGGGGAAAAGGTGATAAAACCATTCCCGGGTGCTCCCATTGCAGCTGTGCCTCCCCCCCCCAAAACCCCCCCATGGGACCCCCCTGCCAGCCCCACCCCCCCCCCCAGCCCGGCCCCCCCAGGAGCACTGGGGGGGGCGGTTGGGGGTGCAGCCCCCCCGAAGTGCTGCTGCCGGGGGGCCGGGGCAGTAGTGCAGTGGGGGGGGCCGGGGGGGGCACCCTCTGCCCCCCCGCCGGCGCCTCCAGGGCCTTTGCAACTCCTGACGGACACGACAAAACCCACGAGGACGAGGGGAAAAACAACAAAAAAAAAAAAGGACAACGGAAAAGTTGGGGGGGGGGGCAGCCCCACCCCCCCCGGCGTCCTGCAGCGCCCACCGTCCGCGGCGCTTGGCACAAAATTGTCTTCTCTCAGCCCAAAAAAAAAGACAGAGAACCCCCAAAACCCCGAATCTGGCCCCGAATCTGGGGATAAAAGGGAGGGCACGGGGGAAGGGGGGGTCACCCCAGCCGGGGCAGACCCAGTGGGCTGGGGGGGTCCACCAGCCCTGCGCCCCGATGGGCTGGGGTCCCCCTGCTGCCGCTGTGCCCCCCGTGCCCCCTGCCCTGCTATGGGGGGGTCCTGGCCCCCACCTTGCTATGGGAGGGGTCCTGGCCCTCACCCTATTAGGGGGGATGGGGGTCCTGGCCCCCCGCCCTGCTTTTGGGGGGGTCCTGGCCCTCACCCCACTATGGGGATGAGGGTCCCAGCCCCTGCCCCTGCTATGGGGGGGGGTCCTGGCCCCCCACCCTAGTCCCCCAAAATTGCTGCCCGGCCAAAAGTGCATGTGGCCACGGCCCCCCCAGCCGGGGCAGCCTCTCCCTGTGCAGCCCAGAGCCCCCTCCTCTCCTCCCCTGCTCTTCCTCCTCCTCCTCCTCCTCCTCCTCTTCCTCCTCCTCCTCCTTCCAAAGTGCAGTTAGTTTAATATTTTAGCCTCTCAGGGAGGGAAATAAATGCTTAAAAAATAATAATCTACGAAGAGAAGGACAATAAAGGGAACGCTCGACCGTCGGGGCCCTTCCCTGTGCAAACAAACAAAATTCGTCAAGTCCTGGGGCGGGGGGGGCAGGGTGGCCGTGGGGGGGCACAGCGGGACCCCCGCCCTGGGCGCAGCATCCCCTTGTCCTTACAGGGGGACGAGAAAGATTTGGGGGGGGGGGGGCCAGAGCAGGGCTGGGGGGACCCGGGGTGGGGGGGTGTCAGCCCTACACCTCCTGGTCCTCGAAGACCTCGAGGAAGAGGGGTGGGAAGAGCTCGGTGGGACACTCCACCTTCATGTGCAGGAAGCGGCTGGCGTGGCAGGCGCCGATCATCCGCAGATCCGTCACCTTCATCAGCAGCTTGGGCCAGAAGTGGGGAATGTTGTGTTTGCGGTAGTTGATGTAGTGCTCGAAGGCCAGCAGGTACGTCTCCTGGCACTTCTCGATCTTCTCCACGCAGATCAGCCCCGTCCGGTCTGCGGGGAATCACCACGGGATCATCACGGAACCATCGTGGAATCACAGCGTGGCTTGGGTGGGAGGGACCTTAAAGCCCACCCGGTCCCACCCCCTGCCATGGGACACCTCCCACTATCCCAGGTTGCTCCAAGCCCTGTCCAACCTGGCCTTGGACATTTCCAGGAATGGGGCAGCCCCAGCTTCTCTGGGCATCCCGTGCCAAGGCCTCACCCCCCTCACAGGGAGGAATTTCTTCCCAATATCTCACCTAAATCTCCTCTTTTTAGTTTAAATCCCTCCCCTTTAACTTGGCACTCTCTGTCCATGTAAGAATCTGGCATCCAAGGAGATTTGCCCTCCTCCAGGGCTGAGTGCCCCACTGGGTTTTGGGGTTCCCACCCCACAGACACCTGCATCAGCCTGGCAGGGGTCCCCAGGGCACCAAGGGGCTCAACCCATGCCCACACTTTGCAGCCCAGGTTTCAACACCACAGATTACAGTTCCCACTCCATGCTCCTGGGCACTGGGAATTGGGGTATCCACTCCTTCCAGCCTGGCACAGCTCCCCAGAGCTCTGGGGATTGGGGTGCTTACCCCACAACCTCCTGGCAAAGCTCCCTAGGTGCACTGGGGTGCCCACCCCATATCTGCCCCCAAATCCAAGGGAGCACAGTTTCCCACTCAACACACCCTGAAGATGCTGGGGGGCTTTGCCATCAGGGTGCCCACCCAACACATCCCCAGCACAGACTCTGGGCACAGGGGTGCCCACCCAACACAGCCATAAGACACCGCAGATGCTGGGCATTAGGGTGCCCATCCAATGCATCCCCAAATGCTGGGGGCTCTGGGCACAGAGGTGCCTACCCAACGCATCCCCAGAAGAGACTCTGGGCATGGTGGTGCCCACCCAGCACACCCTGAAAATGTTGAGGGGGCTCTGGCATCAGGCTGCTCACCTGACACACCCCCCCCAGCATACTGAGGACTCTGAGCATGAGGGTGCCAACCCAACACACCCCCAAAATGTTCGGGGAGCTCTGGCATCGGGCTGCTCACCTGACACACCCCCAGCATACTGAGGACTCTGGGCACGGGAGTGCCAACCTAACACACCCCCAGGACAGATGGGCACTCAACACACTCCCAGGATACTGATGACCCTGGGCACAAGGGTGCCCACCCAACACACCCTCCGATTCCCCGGGCACCAGCGTGCCCACCCCACGCCTGCGCACATGGGTACCTGAGGACATGAGCAGCACGGCCTGGAGCAGGGCCACCTCGGTGTCGTCCAGGTTGAAGGCAGAGAGGGACTTGCCCAGGTCGAAGATGGCATCGGAGACGACGCCGAGGCCGCCGTTCTTGAGCTGCTCTCGCTTCACCGCCATCTCCCCGCTCAGCGTCAGCGTCTCGCTCTCGGGGTCGTAGCGCACGGCCGCCCGCAGCGACATGATCTCCATGCAGCACCCCTTGAGCAGGATGATCTGGTCCTCGCAAGGCAGCTGAGGGGGGGGCACGGCGGCAGTTTGGGGGGGGGTTTGGTGTGACTCAGACCTGGACAGTTCCACTCTGGTCCTCCCCCAAAACCTCCCGCCCTCCCTTCCCCCCCCCCGCCGTTACCTCCGAAAACATGGGCAGTTTTTTGGCAAAGTCGACCACGCGGGTGATGGCCGGGGTGATGATTTTTGTAAACTCGCTGAACGCCTCCAGGTCGACTTTGTCCCCGTCGGGCATGGAGGCCATGGGGGACTGGCCGATGTCCTCGGGCTGTGGGGGGCACAGAGGCGTTGGGGGGTGTGGAGTGTGTCCCACAGGACCCCCGTGGTGGTGTTGGGGAGTGCGGTGTGACTGTGTCCCCCATCAAGACCCCCATAACAGACAGGGACACTGGGGGCTGTGGTGTAACCCTGTCCACCCCTGGGATCCCCATGGTGGACAGTGGCACATGGTGGTGCAGTGTGACCATGTATCCCCCCCAGGACCCCCATGGCAGCACTGGGGGCTGTGACATTATTGGGACCCCCATGATGGACAGCAGCATTGGGGGGGCATGGTGTGACCACTTCCCCCACCCTGGGGGTTGCAGTGTGACCCTGTGCCCCCCTCAGGACCCCCATGTCACCGGGTAACACGTGTGGCAGGGCTGGGTGCAGCAGCCAGGAGAGGGAGCTACGTGACAGGGCCAGGGCCAGGGCCAGGGCTGGGGCCACCCATGGGCACAGCTGTCCCCTTCGGTCACCGCTCACCCCTGAACCCTTTGGGGGTGACCAGCTCAAGGACACCGAGCAACATCCCAACCCCCCCAACTCCACCTGCCCAAGGACACCAGTGACATCCCACACCCTGGCACTGCCAGCGCTGCTGCCACGTGTGCACTGAGCATGTGGGTGCTCAGCAAACCCCGGCTAGGGGGTTGGGGTGGTAACAGGGTCCCTCTGCTGCATCCCCTCACCAGGAATTTCCGCTTCTGCTTCCAGTGGCTGCCCTGGGCGTTGGTGCTGCGGTGGGCTTCTGTCACCACATGGATCAGCTCCCACTCCTCGGCGCTGGGGTTGGGGCGATGCTGCAGCGACTTGATCATCTCCTCCTTCCGCCGCCGCTCCCGGTTCTCCTCGATCAGCTTCCGCTTCGCTACCCGCTTGGAGTCATCCAGCACCACTGCCGGGACCCCCGATATCACCTGAGAGCCCCCCACCAGCCAGGAGCCCCACCAGCCACGCATCCCACGGCTGCAGCACAGCACCCCACGGTGACACCCCAGCCTGCTCCTGACAGTGCTCCGGGCACCCCAACCCACCCCACGGCACCAGGACCACAACCCACCCCCCAGCAGCCCCTCACTATCAGCTGGGACCCCCCCAGTCAGCCGAGACCCTCCACTTGTGTATCCCACCCCGCTGATGCATCACGGTGCCCTGTGCCCGACACCTGGTCCTGTGGCTGCTCTGGGTACCCCAACGTGCCCCACGGTGCCAGGACCCCAACCCAGCCCTCCAGCCAAGCCCAACGTGTCCCCCCACTCACAGTCCATGGCCATGCCCACGGAGATGCACTTCTTGAAGCGGCAGAGCTGGCACTGGTTGCGGGTGATCTTGTCGATGACGCAGCACCCATCGTACTTGCAGGAGTAGGTGGGGTGCAGGTTCTTCTGGATGGTCCGACGGAAAAATCCCTGGGGAAGGCACAGGGGGGGTGACACGGTGAGCGCCACTGAGCCCTGCTGAGTCCCCCTGAGCCCCCTGCCCCAGCTCACCTTGCAGCCCTCGCAGGTGATGCAGCGGTAGTGGTAGCCGGTGGCCTTGTCCCCGCACACCACGCACTGTTCATCTTTGTCCAGGTAACTAGGGATGTACCCTGTGGGGACCCCCGGGTCAGGGACCCCCATGGCAGAAACCCCCATGGTGCCCCAGGCCAGGGACCCCCAGTGTACCTCAAATCAGGGGCCCACGGGGTGCTCTGTGACAGGGACCCCCATGACAGGGACCTCCAGGGCACTCCAAGTCAGGGACCCCCACAACACCCAGTACCACGGACCCTGGTATCAGGGACCCCCACATCAGAGATCCCCTGGGGGACCCCAAGTCAGAGATCTCCCCTATGCCCTGCATCAGGGACCCTTCACACGTGCAGCATCAGGGACTCTCTGCACACCCCCTGCCAGGCACCCCCAGTGTGTCCCCCCTCTTTGTGCCTCAGTTTCCCCTCCGTCAACACCCACTGAAGCCCTGACGCTGCCCCTCAGCCTGGCACGGGAAGGGTTAAAGCTGGGGGGGCTGTCAGAGGGTGGGGGGTGTCTGAGGGTGGGGGGTGTCTGAGCCCCCCGCACCAATAAAGCCCCCATTATCCCATTATCCGGCTGGGGACCGGCAGCGGGGGGGTCCCCATCCCCCTGCTGCACAAAGACCCACTGTCCCCACCATTGTCCAGGGTCCCCCCGCCTGGCAGCCCGGGGACCAGCCCCCCAACCCCCCCAGCTCCCCCATCACCGTCTGCACAGGGAAACTGAGGCATGGAGCACCCATGACACCCGGGGGGGGCTCTCCAGCAACCCGGGACCCCTGTGCCCCCCCGGGGAGCCCACCCCTGTCCTCTGTGGGTGCTGGATGTAGGGGTCCCCGGGGCAGGGGGGTGCAAAGGATGAGGGGGTGTGGGCACCTGGCACCCCGGGACCGCTGCACCCACCTGGGACCCCCCCAAACCCACGCGTGGGGACCCCACGAGCCCACCCTGGCGCTCTGTGGGTGCTGGATGGGGGGGTCCGCGGGCGTCCCCCCCCTCCCAGAGCGGGGCGGGTGCAGGGGATGGGCGGGAGCCGGACGCCCGGGTCCCCCCTGGCCCCCCCCACCCCGTCCCACCCATCGGGTCCTGCCGGCGCCGGCCGCTCCCCGCCGGGGAATGGGGCAGGGCGGGGGGCAGCGCCCGCGGGGCCCCCCTTATCGCCCACCCCAGGGCGCTGCCGCCCGGATGGCACCGCCCCGACCCAGGGGCGCCGAGGGGGACGCGGGGGACGGAGACCCCGGGGGACCCTGCAGGGATATGGGGTGTCCAGGGGACCCTGGGGAGACACGGGGACCTCGGGGTGCCTATCAGGGACATGGGGTATCCATGGGGTGCCTGGCTGGGACTTGGGGCTCCCAAGGTGCCCACTGGGGACGTGGGGTGTCCAGGGCACCCTGGAAAGGAAACGGGGCTCCTGGGGTGCCCGCAGGGGACAAGGGGCGTCCGTGGGACCCTGGGGATGTAGTGTCCAAGGGACCCTGGGGTGCCTGGCAAGGACATCGGGTTCCCGGGGTGTACCCCAGGGACATGGGGTGTTCAAGGGACCCTGGGGTGCCCGGCAAGGACACAGGGGTCCCTGGGTGCCCACCAGGGGACAAGGGGTGCCCATGAGACTTTGGGGGACCCAGCTGAGACACAGAGTGTTCAGGGGATCCTGGCCAGGACTTGGGGACCCCGGGGTGCCCACCAGGGACACGGGGTGTCTGCGGGATGCAGGTGGGACACAGGGTGCCTGTGGAACCCAGCGAGAACGTGGGGTGCCTGGGTGACCTGGGGGTGCCTGGGTGACCTGGGGGTGCCCAGCAGGGCCATGGGGTGCCCGAGGGTGCCCGGGGGTCCCTGTACCTGACATGCTGCTCTTCACCAAACATTGGCTGCTCTTTCTTTTGCGCTTCCCATCCAGCCACCTGTGGGGGGGGGAACAGGCTGGTACGGTGCCCATGACCCCCTACTGCCCCCCCAAACTCCCAACAGCCCCCCAAGACCCCCCATAGTCCCCCGAACCGCCCCAGTCCCCTTTGCCGCTGGGAGGTGGGCACCCCCCGCCCGGGGGTCCCACCGGGGCGATGTCACAGGTGGGGTGCAGGATGGGGGGGGGGGCCCTGGGGATCCCCCTCCCGGGAACAGACCCCCCCCAGGACACGGCAGCGCCCGGGGGGAGCCTGGGACCGGGATGGGGGGGGGGAGGGGAAGGGAAAGGGTGGCGGGTGGGGGAGGGGAAGGAAAGGGTGGGGGGTGGGGGAGGGGCGGGGGAAGAAGTGGGGGAGGGGCGGGTGGGGGAGGGGCTCATTCACAGTCAAAGACAAAATGTCCTTTTGGCTGAGCGGGGAAATGACGTCATCGGGGGCTCAGCCAATGGCGCGCGCCGGGGGTCCGCGCGCGCCCGTCCCCGCGGGGGGGGGCCCGAAGAGGGGGGGGTGGGCACCGACGGGGGGGGGCGCGGGGGAGGTCCTGGGATCCAGCACAAGGTGACCCCGGGCCGGGCCACCCCACCGGGGGCCCGAAATAGCCCCGGGGGCGGGGGGGAGGGGGGGGGCGAGGGGCCCCCGCGGGGAGGGGGGGGCTTGGAGAGGCACCGGTGGGGGACACGAGTGGGGACGTGTGGGCGTGGGGACACACCGGGCAAGGGGGCACGGGCACAGCCGGGCAGGACACACCTGGGGACAAGAGGGGTGCAGGGGGACATGTGGGGCACAGGGCTGGTGGGGGACACCCGGGGTATGGGAATGCACAGGACACAGGGACACCCAAGGACAGACGCGTGGGGACGCATGAAGTGGATGAGGACACAGTGGGCACGGGGACACACAGGGCACAGGGGCACACAGAGGGCACGGACAAATACACGACCACGCAGGGGCACAAGGGACACAGTGGGCACAGGGACACACGGGGCACGTGGACAGAAGGGACACCCAGGGCACAGACACATACACCACGCAGGGACGTGCGGGGACATAGACATGGTGACACAAGGGACACAGTGGGCACGGAGCCACAAAGGACACCCAGGGCACAGACACATCCATGCCCACGCAGGGACGCCATGGGGACACACCAGGCAGGGGGACACAGGGGACACTGGGCACAGGGACACAGGGACACCCAGGGCACAGGGACAACCAAAGGGCACGGACATACACATGACCATGCAGGGACATGTGGTGACACAGGGCATGAGAATGCAAGGGACACCCGGGGCACAGACACCTCCACGAGGGACACATGGGGACACACCAGGCACGGGGTCACAGGGCACAGGGACACACCGGGCAGGGGGTGCAGTGGGCATGGGGACACTTGGGCACACACACAGCACACTAGGACACTCTGGGCACGGCCAGGTCCAGCCCAGGGGACAGAAGGGGACACGCCGGGCACGGTGCCACGCGTGTCCCTGCGCCGGGGCAGGGGCTCACCGGGTGTCCTCTGGCTCCGACAGCGGGTCCAGGGTGCTGGGCTTCTGTTCCATTCACCGCAATTCCATCAAGGAGCGCTCAGCACCGACCGGGGGGGGGGCTCCGGCGCCACGCGGGGGCCACGGCGGGGGGGCCACGGCGGGAGGCCACGGCGGGGGCTACGCCGCGCTCCCCATGGTGCCCCTCAGTGCTCAGCACCGCGCAGCATCCCGGGCTGCACCCTGCGGGACACGGGGGTCAGCCCCGACCCCTGGGGGGGGCTGAGGGGGACAGTAATGGGGGACCTCAGGGACAGGAGGAGGAGCAAGCCCGGGGGACACAGAAGGGACCCCTGGGGAAGGGGGGTGCAGCCCTGGGGGGCCTCCAGGAGCTGCTGCTGCCGGGGAAGGCTGGGTACGAGTGTGCAAGAACGCGTGGAGCGTGCAAGGGCAGCAAGGGCTGTGCGAGAGCACGAGGGACGTGCAAGGACACGTGGAGGGAGCGACGTGCAGGGTGGGTGCAACAGCACCGGGGCTGGGCCAGAGTGCACCGGGGGGAGAGAATGTGCACAGGGACATGAAAACATGCATGGGTGTGCAAGGCTGGGAGAGCATTAAGGGCGTGCAAGAGCGTGCAGGGTTGTGTGAGAGTGTGCACAGGTGTGAGAGTGCACAGGGGGGTGTGAGAACGTGCAGGGGGGTGCAAGGCTGGAAGAGGCATTAGGGGTGTGCAGGGGTGTGCAGGAGCATGCAGGGGTGTGCAGGGCTGTGTGAGAGCACGTGGGGTTTGTGAGAACATGCACAGGTGTGTGAGAGTGTCCCCAGGTGTGCAGGGCTGAGAGCCTGGGGGGAAGCACAAACACACACGGGGGTGGCAGTGGGTGCTGACCCCACCCGCACGGCAGGGCTGGGGGGGCCTCCCAAAAGGCAGGGAGAGCCCATTGGGGTGGGGGTGCACAGGACCTGCCAGGGGAGTGCCCCCCAGACACTGTGCTTGGGGGCCAGGCTGAGCCCTGACAAATTCACCACATGTGTGGACACCCCCGAAGCTGGGAGTGGGGGGTGACTTATGGGAGGGGTGACTTACGGGGTGGGGGGTGCCGGGGGTCCAGGCAATCCCTCCTCTGTGAGCTCTCCTGTGACAAAGACACGGCGGGGGGGGGGAGTCAGGGCGTGGGCAGCACTGAGGGGCACCCACTGCCCCCTCCGACCCCCTGTGTTGGGGAAACTGAGGCACGACCCCAGCAGATCCCCCCTTCCCTTCGCGCCCCTCCGTTCCACATCGCCATGGATACCCAGCACCCACCCAACACCCACCCAGCACCTCAGTGGGGCGGGGGGGGGCCCTGCTCACAAGCCCCCCCTGTGACCTCCCGGTGACCCTCCCGGCGTGGGGGCTGTGGGGGGCGCGGGGGGCCCCCTGCCCGCGCCGGGGGGGCCGGGGGGGCCGCGGCGGGCGCCGTGCCCAGCCCCGGGCTCCTCCGCTCCGCGCGGGGACAGCAGAAAGTAGGTCACGTTTGTCTTGGCCGCCGCAGAAATTCCTCCGGCGGATTTAAAACGCAGCGGACGGGGCTGGGGGCCCCCACGACACCCCCACGCCACGGGGCGCCCCGGTCGGCCCCCCCCCGAGGCAGGGACACCCCCGAGCAGCGAGGGATGGGGGGGCGAGGGATGCGGCACCCAGGGGTGCACAGGGCACCCCGCGCCGCTGCGGCGCACGAGGGGTTCGCACCGGGGGTCCCCCAGACCCCCTGAGGAGGGGGCGTCTCCTGCACCAGCCTCCGCGGGGAAACTGAGGCACGGCAGCGCACCCACCACCCCCGGGGTGCGCTCCCCCTCTGGAGGGCTCACGGCGGGGGCTGGCCGCCCCTCTCCGCAGCCCCAGGCCGGGTTTGGGGCCGGCGGTACCTATAGAGCCGGGGGCTGCAGCAAATGTTTGTTCCATATGGGAACGGCGCGCGGAGAACTTCCAAGTATAGGCACTGGCAGGGATCCAGGGCTGCGCGGCCCCCGCCGGGCACCGGCCCCCCCGCCGCCCACCGCCCCCCTCCCCCGGGACCCCGCGCACGGGCAGAGCCCCGACACGCTCGGTGCATGTGTGGGGCTGGGGGGCGTCGACACCGCGGTGAAACTGCCATGGAGTGGGATCTGGGGTGTCCCCAAAGCTGGGTGGGCTCAGCCGCCCCTGCCTCAGTTTCCCCACTGGGGTGGCCTGGTGGGCACAGCCCCAAATGAGAGGGGCTCAGGGCTAAAGCCGGGGGGCTGCGGCGCAAAGTTGGGGTTCGCCGCCACAGCGAGACCCCACCAGCCCCCTGACACCCTCGGGATCACCGGCACCCCCGGGATCACCCAGTGGAGCCTGCGGTGCCGCTCCAGGAACTGTCACTCGAGGAATCCTGGGCGCGCTGGGGCGGCCCAGACAGACAGACAGACAGGAGAGGCGGCTCTACTCCTCCTCCTCTTCCTCCTCCTCCTCCTCCAGCAGGACACGTGTGATGAGCGCAGTCAGGTCTCATCCCACCCTGCGCCGCCGGCACCCAACCTGCGCGTCCCACCTGCAGGACCAGGTGCTGGGTGGGAGGGGGTGGCAGCCGGCGGGAGCCCCCCCGTGCCCCCCCAGCCCAGCCCCACGCCCAGGGGAGCGTTTCTGCTGAGTCGGGTGGTTGCAGGCGGCGGAAAACAACCCAGGGGCAAAGTCCGGGGCTGGGCCGGCGGCGGGAGCCACCTCACCCCACCGGGGGCACCCAGCACCCCGGTCCCCATGGACCCCACCCCTGGGGACCCTCAGAATGGGGAACTCACCCCACGGGACACCCCTCTGCGAATGCACCAGCTGCCTCCGTTCAGCTGGATGCGGGTGCTGGGCACTGGGGCCACCCCAGGGGGCCACCAGCGTGTCCCTGCCCCCCGGGACAGATGGGCTCCGGGGGTCCCAGCACCCCCCCGCCCAGCTGCAAGCCGGGTCAGGGAGGTGAGGGCCTAAGCGCTTTAGCCACGGTGCCAATTAGTGTGATTAGCGCAGGCTGGGGGCAGGGCGCCGCGGGCAGACCCGCAGCCACTGGCCAGCGATGCCCGGCCACGGCCGCAGTGTCACCGCGGGCACCGGGGCAGTGTCACCGCGGGCACTGCGGCGTCACGGCGGGCACCGGGCAGCACCAGGGTGGGCACCAGGGTGGCACAGCTCTGCCCCTGCCCGAGGATCCCTGGCTGCGCTGTCTGGCAGGACAGCACCGTGGGAGCGTGTCCAGGCGCAGGGCACCTGCCATGGCACGGCTGGCAGCACCCGGCACGTGCCGGTTCCCGTGTGTGTGGCCGTGCCAGGTGCCACACGCGCGTCCGCTCTCAGTGCCGAGCACTCACCCCGCACCTGTATCAGTGCAGGCCACACCATCCCCAGTGCCATGCGGTGTGCCCACAGTGCTGTGGGCACATGTGGCAGCAGGGACAGCGAGCTGTGCTGTGCTGTGCTGTGCTGTGCTGTGCTGTGCTGTGCTGTGCTGTGCTGTGCTGTGCTGTGCCGTGCCGGGAGGCTGCAGGAATCCCAGGCATGCGCAGCAGCTGGGCAGCCCCAGCGAGGGGGATGCCACGGGCCTGACATCAGGGCAGCCCACCGTGTGCTGTGCCCTGGGGGCCTTGGACGGTGCCCCCTCCCCACATAGGCAGGGTCCGGGTCATGCTGTGGCACAGGAAGGCTGAACTGGGTCTGCCCTCCCTGTGGCTTGGTGGCTCACAGAAGCCACCACGAGAGTGTGGGCTGGTGGCTGCAGGGACGGTGACCTGCTCTGACACCGAGGGGGCACCCAGGTTGTGGCCTCGTGCCTCCGACGTGCCCTGTGTCCAACGGGTCCTTCATCGCCACCGCAGGGACCTGCCCCGTGACCCCCACCCTGCCCTGCAGCCCCCATGAACCCCACGGGACTGCCGGTAACGTTACGTCCAACCCAGGCCACACCGGCCACTCCTTCCTGCAGTGTCCGAGTGTCCGGCTGTGCCTCGGTTCCCCCATCCCACCGGAGCTGCCTGGCAAAGGAACAGCTGTAGTGTCACATCTCCAGCACCATGCTCCCCGTGCCAGCACACAGGACAAGGCCCATCCCTGTGTCACTGCTCCTCCAGGCCACAGGGGTCACCCAGCGGGACCCCCGAGCTCCTGGCATGTTCTGATTGTGCCCGGTCTCAGCCTCAGGGCGGCTGCAGGCCCTGAACCCTGCAGGGTGCCCCCAGCCCCGGGAGGTGTGCCGGGACGCCGGGAGCTATTCTCAGCCCTTGGCACGGGATGGGACGTTTCTAAATTGGGGGCTCCGATTCACGTGCACCAGGACGGGGTGGGGGGGGGCCCTGGGTCCTCTCCCCAGGGGGCCCCGCTTGAAGGGGAGAGGTAGCCACCACGAGGTGCCCGGGGTGGGCACCGATGTGGGGACACGGGAATGGGCACTGGGATGTGGGAACGGGCGCTGGGACAGGGCACCAAGACCGCCCAGGGGTGCGTGACCCCGCCGAGAAGGGAACACGGGGGACAGTCCCCAGTGTCCCCTCAGCCACCCGACCCTGCCCGAGGGTCTGCAGCACCGGGGACACCCTGAACGGCACCACCCCCGCTGCGCCCCCCGACTGCATCCAGTCTGAGCGGGACCCTGGGCGCGCAGCCCGCGCCTGCCTTGCCTTCACCGCATCCCCCCGCTCCTCCTCCTCCTCCTCACTCCCCCCAGCCCAGAGGGGGACCCAGGCGTCCGGCCCCGCCCCCGCGCACCGGCGGCTGCGCGGGGTCCGGCGGGGCCGGGGGGCCGCGGGATGGGACCCCCGGGGCGGCCCCGCCGCCGCTCCGATCTCCGCTGCCCCGGGAATGCGCGCGCGGAGTGGAGCGGAGCGGGAGGGGGGGTCCCGCTTCCTGCAGCCACCGCCCCCTGGGAGGGGTCTGGGGGTGCGCCCGCAGCCCCCCCCCCGCGCTGCGCAGGGTGCGGGACCCCGGGCGTGCACGGCCCGCGCTCCCCCCTCCAGGACCCCGCCCGCGGGGCGGCCCCGCGAAGGTCACGGCCGCGGGCGGGTGCGGGGAGTCGGGAGGGACCCCCACGCGAGAACCCCCCGCCGCCGGCCCGCGGGGAGCGGGGCCCGCACCATTGCGGGGGGCACACGCAGCCGCACGGCACCGCCGGGGGGAGGGGGGGGACGCACCGCGCTCCCACCCTGCGCCAAGACCCCCGGGCGGGGAAGCCCCCCCCAAACCGGTTCCACCGGGGCTTGCCCGCTCCCCACGGCGGCCCCGGCCCCCCCCCCCGCACCCCGGCGGAGCCGCGGGGGTCCCCGGTGCTGTCGGGGGTCAGGCGGGGTAAGGCGCAGCCCGGCCTCCCGGTGCCGCTCCCGGTGCCGGTGTCAGTCCCCGGCGGGGGGGTCACGGCGGCTCCGCGGCTGAAGGTCGCGGTCCCGGGGTGACCTTGGCCGTGGCGCACGCCCGCCCCTGCCTCAGTTTCCCCGCATCGCACAGAGGGGACGCGCCGGAGCCCGGCCGGGACCGCATCCCGCGCCCTGACGGCGACACCGGGACCGGGGGCAGGATCCGCCCCCCCCGGGGCTGGGGGGGGGGACACCCCGCGGGACCGCGGGGCGCCGTGGGGAGGGGAGCCCCCGCCACGCCCCGCGCCCCGCTCTGGGCAAAGCCCGGGGTGCGGGGCTGGAGGCCCCCCCCGCCCCGCCGCACTGGGGACGCCCCCCCGCTGCCCCCGCCCCAACCGGGAGCGGCCGAACCGCCCCCCCCGCCCCCCCCGCGCTCCGCTCCCGGCGCAGAAAAAAATAATAAAAAAAATATTTTAAAATTTTAAAAATAAAAGAAATCGCAGCATTCCCACCGCCCTGCGGGGCGGGTGCGGGGGGGCGGCCATGGGGTCCACTAAAGCCCCCACGGACACCTCACGGCGCCGTCACGGCCCGGCCGTCCACGGTTCCCCCCCCCGTCGCGACAGGGCCACGGCCTGCCCACGGCCCGGCCCCGCGACCTGCCCACGGCGCGGCCCCGCGCCCGTCCCCGCAGAGCCACGCCGCGGCCCGGACCCCGCCACGCCGCCACGCCACGGCCACGGGGGGGCCGCGGGGCCGGGGGGCCACGGCCGGGGGGGGGCTGCCCCCGTGGCGTGGCGTGGCGGGCGGGGGGCAGCGCCGTGCCCCGCATGCAGCAGCAGCCCCGGGTGCAGTGGGGGTGGGGGGCGCGGTGTCCCCCCCCGCCCCCACGGGGGAACGCGGCCCCCCCGCCCCACGCCAAACGCCCGGATTTTCCAAGGAAAAAAAAAAAATCTTTCCCCGTGTTTTTTCCTCGCGGTTCGCGGGCCCATGAGCCCCTCGCGGGCCCCGAGCCCCCCGCCCCGACCACCCCTCACCCTCCCCAGTTCCACGCACCGAACTGCGCCCGTGCTCAGCCCGGGGGGGGCGGCCGGGGGGGGCGGCGGGTAAACAACCGGGGGGGCGGCGGGGCCGGGGGTGGGGGGCGGCGGGGCCGCTCGGGCCGTACCTGGGGTGCGGCGGTGCGGGGCGCGGGGCGGCGGTGCGGGGCGCGGAGCGGGGCGCGGAGCGGCGGTGCGGGGCGCGGAGCGGAGCGGGGCGCAGCGGCGGCGGCGGCGGCGGACGAACGGCGCTGGCTCCTCCCTCCCCCGGCCCCGCCGCCCGCCCGCTCCGCTCCGCCGCGGCCGCAGCCCCCTCCGCCGGCCGCAGCCGCTCCCTGCACCCGCCGCGCCCGGCCCCGCGTGGGGACCCACGGGGGAGCGGCGGGGACCGCGGGAGGGTGGTCCCCCCCACCCCCCGGGATTGGGTGCGCCGGGCACGGGGATCACGGGGTGGGGACGGTGCCCGTGGCCGAGTGCGTGATGGGAGCCCTGGCGGTGCCCGCGGGGATGTGGTGACAGTGACAACGGGGACGGAGCACAAGGGTGGGGGGCTGTACATAGGGGGGGCTGGGAGCTGTGCCCACGGGGGTTGGGGACGGCACCCACGGGGAGCTGGGGACGGTGCCCACAGGGCCCCGGGGATGGTGCCCGTGGCGGGGTGAAGGTGGTGACCACAGGAGTTTGGGACGGTGCCCACGGGGATGTCGTGACAGTGACAACGGGGATGGGGAATGGTGACCACAGAGTGGGGGGTTGTACCCAAGGGGGGCCGGGGACGGTGCCCACGGAGGCCCAGGCTGATGCCCGTGGCGGGGTGGGGATGGTGTCCACAGGGACTGGGGACAGCACCCACGGGAATGCTGTGACAGTGACAACGGGGCGTGCACGGGGGATGGGGACAGCACCGACAGGGAGATGGGGACAGCACCCACGGGCATGTTGTGACAGTGACAATGGGGACTGGGGACGCTGCCCGCAGGGTTTGGGGACAGCACCCGAGGGAGCTGGGGACGATGCCCACGGGGAGTGGCGATGGGGTGGAGATGATGCTCATGGGGAGCTGGGACGGTGCCCACGGGGGGTGGGAACGGTGCCCACGGGGCGGGGGTCAGCTCCGCACCCCAGGATGCCCAGACCGGCCCCGCGGGACGGCACACACCGGATACGGGGGTCCCACTCGGCCCTGCACCGCCCCGGGCAGGATCCGGCCCCGCGGGACACCAGCACGTCGGGGGGCCCTGCCCCTGCGCCCCCCGGGGGATCTGGGGGGCTGGGGGGCCGGACCCCGCCGTGGTGCCGCAGCCGGACCCCGCCGTGGTGCTGGGGGTGGCGTGCACTGGGAGCCCGGGGGGCTCACAGAAGAGGGCGTTGGGGGTCCCCCCAACGGAGCCCCCCGACCCGCTCGTCCCACCCCACCCCCTTCCCAGCAGTCCCTGCTCCCAGCCCCCCCTTTTCCCCCCCGGACTACACGTCCCGTCATGCCCGGGCTTAAAGCGCTGCTGCCGGTCCCCCCCCCCCAGCCCAACGCCCCGCAGCTCAACCCTGGGACCCTCGGGGGCTCGGCCTGGCCGCCCCCCACCCTCCAACCCCGTGGGTACCCCCCTCCCTGGGCTGCACAGGCGGTGCGGTGGCACCCAGGGAATGAGGGGGATGGGGGGCCCCTGGGGATGAAGGCTTTCAGGAACGTGGGGGTCCTCAAGGGATGAAGATTTCCATGGGGGGGCCCTAGGGGATGGGGATACTCGGGGGCAGCACCCAGGGGAGGGGGATCCCCTGAGCACAGCGGCTCTCAGGGAATGGTGCTGCTCAGAATGGAGTCAACAAGGGGACAATGCCATCTGGGGGACAGAGGTCCCCGGGGGACGGTGGTCCTCGAGGATGGTGGTCCCCAGGCAATGAGGGTCCCCAGGCAATCAGGGTCCCCAGGGCACAGGGCAGAGTGACACCCTGGGCTGCTGGTGGGTGTCCCCATGGCCCCCCCTGGGCCCTCTGGACCCCCTGCTGCCCCTGGTCCCCCACAGCCCTATGGTTCCTGTAGCCCCTATGGGCCCCCTAGTCCCTGTGTCACCCTGGGCCCCCCGTCCCCATGGCTGGAAGTCCCAGCGTGGCGGGGGCAGTGGCAGCGTGACGGCCCCCCCGTCCCGTTCTGCCTGTTCCGTACACTTTATCCTCGGCAAACACGGCGCGGCCGCGGCCCCCCGACACCGTCTGCCCGCGATAAGGCAGTGGCTGAGCCTGCCTGCCCCGGCCCACAGGGCTCGGCCACCTCAGCACCACGCCGTGTCCCCAAATCCCCCTGCCCGTGGCCATCCAGCACCCTCCACCCCAACAGAGACACTGAGGCAGGGCTGGGGTTCACCTGCGGAACCCCAGTAGCAGGGACAGGCACCTCTCACACTCCTCACCAGCCCCTCATACCACATGAGGTGCCCCCAGTGCCAGCTCAGACCTCTCTGTGTACCCTCAGCAGGGTGGGGAACCCCTGCCCTGCAGCAGACCCTGATCCAGGGGGATTTGGGATGCAGAAGGGCCATGGTGTTCTTGGGGCGCAGGCGCTCGGCCGGAACATGCTCATTAAAATTCATCCTGCTGCTCTGCAGCAGAGACACTAAATATAGCCCTGAGCCAGCAGTGCAGCCCCCCTGGACCCCCAGGATGGGGGTGACACTGGGCACCTCCTTCCACAGCACCGGAGACCCCCAAGGGGTAGCACCCACCACAGCCGGGGGGTCCAGGGTGTCCCCAGGCTCTGGATCAGACCCTTCACACCCTGCCAAACACTGGGAGCCAGCCATGTGCCCCCCAGCAGGGCCTGGCAATGAGGGGCCTGGTCGCCCCAGTGACCCCGTGGGAAGGAGAAGCCCCCAGTGCTGGCCCCCTCTCGCCCCCTGCCTGCCCCTGGCGCTGGGAACAGCCCCGGCCCCTTCCGGCCCCCCCGGCCCCGGGCCGGAGGCAGCTGTGCCGGGGCGTCCTGCCAAGGCGCCGAGGCCTCGACGCCTTCCCCCTGCCTGGCCGCCCCCCCAGTGCCCCGGGGGGCTGCGACCCCCCAAGCACCCCCCCACTGCCCCCCTACCCCACCAGGGCAGCATCCCCTGCCCCCCAGGGTTTGGGGGTGCTGTGCTGCGGGGGCTGTCAGGGAAGCTCCTCTGGTCCCCTCCTGCCCGGAGACCCCCGTGGTGTTTGTTCCCCCGCCAGCTGCGGAGAGTGGGCCCCCCCCCCGGCACAGGAAATCCCTCCTCATGGACAGGGCCCCCCCCCGGTGGGACCCCCCCGCTGCCGGGGCCCCTCGCCGGCTGGGCAGCCGCTCGCCCGCCTAATCCCAGCCCCGGCGCGGGGGGATTTGCTGCGCCCCGGCCCCATGAATGATTAACCGGGGAATTAAGGGGCCGTGGAGCCCCCCCCCGGGCAGGGCCGGGGGGGCAGTGGGTGACTGGGCTCCCACCCTGGCACCCTGGGGGGCTTCACCCTGCTCCTGAGAGGTGTGGGGCTCCCCTGGGGTGTTCGGGGGGTACTGGGGGTTTTGGGGAGCTGGGAGTGTTGTGGGGGTGCTGGGGGTTGTAGGGTGTTAGGGGGCTGGGGGTTCTGGGGTGCTGAGGGTTGTGGGGTGTTGGGGCTGCTGGGGGGCTGCTGGGCACATTTTGGGGGTTCTGGGGGTGTTGGGATCCTGGGGGTCCTGAGGGGATGGGGGTTCCAGGGGGCTGCCCCCCCCCAGCCCTGCTCCCCATCCTCCCGTTGCCATGGCGACGGCTGGCACCGTCCCTGGGGATATTTTTAGCTGCTGGTGCTGCAGGGAAGGGGTGGGTGGGCAGCCCAAGCCCATGGCTGTGACACGTGTGTGCACACGCGTGTGTCTGCAGTACACTCCTGTGCACACCTGTGTGTGTGTGTGTGTGTGTGTATCCAGGTGGGTACCTGTGTGGAGGTGTGTGCACCCTGCCCACGCATGTCTGCCCGCACACGGGAGCACACACGTGTCTGTGCACACACCTCTGATCACACACGTGCAGGCACGCACGTGTGCACACCTGCGTGTGTTTGCACCCATGCACAGGTACCTGTGTGCACCCTGCCCATGGGCCCCTGTCTGCACACAGGAGCACACGCGTGTCTGCGTGTGCACACGTGTGCAGGAACACGCACGCTCCCCGCGCATCTTCAGACGTGTCTGGGTGCACACGTGGCCCTGGGTGCACACACACGCGTGGGGGAGGGAAGGCAGCTCACACACGCGTGCCTGTGTGCACGCCTGCCCTCCCACACGTGGGTATCCGTTTGCACACTCATCCAGTTACACCCTGTCTTGCACCCCCTTGTTTGCCAATCCCGGGTTTGCACACTCGCTCCTGTGTTTGCACACTCACCCCCACGTTTGCACAACCCCCTCCGTTTTCACACCCACACCTCCGTGTTTGCCCCCTCCCAGTTTTCACACCCACCCTCCTGTTTTCTCCCTCCCCCCGCCTGCACAGTCACCCCCCCGTTTTCACACTCACCCCGTTTGCACAACCCAATTTTTCACACTCAAACCCTGCTCCACCCACCTTGTTTTCACACACTCCATGTCTGCACGCCCCACCCGTATTTGCACACTCACTCCTGCTATTTCCACCCCCGCCCCCCGTTTCCACCCCCGCTCCCGCCCCAGCCCCTCTCGAACTACAACTCCCATCACCCCCCGCGCCCGGAGTGCCCTGCTGCCCAATCAGCGCGCGGCTTGTTGGCAGGTGCCGCCATGGCGGTGCCCAGGCGCTAAGGGAGGCGCTCGGCGGCGCCGGGACACGGTGAGGGCCGAGGGGGGAGCGGCGGGACCTGTGGGCACTGGGGCGGCTCCGAGCGCCCCCGAGCACCCCCCGGCCCCGGGGAGAGGGCGGGCCCCTCGGCCGTGCCCCCCCGGAGCCACTGGGCCGCGCTCCCCGCCGGGCCCCCTGCCCCTCGGGCCCGCTCTGCCCTTCCCGGTGGGGGAGAGGGCTCCGTCCCCCCTGAGCTCTCCGTCCGCAGGGTGACCATGAAGGTGGTGAACCTGAAGCAGGCCATCCTTCAGGCCTGGAAGGAGCGATGGAGCGACTACCAATGGGCCATAAACATGAAGCGGTTCTTCCCCCGCGGAGCTACCTGGGACATCCTCAACCTGGCAGGTCCGGGGGGCTGGGG